CTGACCTGGAACTCACTATGTAGCCCAGGCTGGTCTCAAACTCACAGCGATCCTCCTGCCTCGGCTCCCGAGTGCTGGGACTACAGGTGTGCACCTGGCCCCATAGGTTTTTGTTTTTTTTTAAATATAAGTAAAGAAATGGTTAGGCTTCTTCCCTATAACTCAGTCATTATAACATACTATCTTTAAAACTATAAAATTATTTCAATTTGATATAATGAGATTAAATTTTATTAAACTTCTCAGTTGTCTAGTAGTGATCTACAATACTTACTTTTATGTTGTGAGATAATTTAGAAAATGAATAGTAGAGACAAGGAAGCCATTTAGGTATTAAATATATGTATTCAAATAACTCTTACCTTTTTACCTGTAATGGTGTACTTTGCTTTATGTGCGACAAAGTATGAATCAGTGTTCAAAAGGGTAACTTCAAAAGTGCAAAGCAAAAGAGATTTTTAAAATTTATGTAGGATTATCACATAACCACCCGTCGATGCATTTGTGTTCATTTTCTCGAAATGGACTTCTAAACGATATCAGAGATATCTGGAGTGAAGAATCTTAAGCAAATGGAAAATTTGAAGGAGGAAATGGTTTTCTGTAAAATCCGATTGTTTGAATATGGTGCAGTAGCGCAGTAAGGACTCTGAGCGCCGCTGTTCACCAACCAGGGGGAAATGTGCGGGGAGCTCAGACAGAACCACCTAGTTTTACACCACAAAGAAGCGACAGATTGAGATAAGCCCTCTTCCAAGCTGCACCAAGCTCAAGTTTCTATACTATGGGCTTCTGAGCTTCCTTTCCGAATTTCGGGGGTCCACGCTGACACACTTGCGTCCAGAAGCACATCCAGAGACCGCTCGGTGCCTAAGCAAGATCTGCAGGCAGCAATGGCGGCTCCGCAGGGAGGCGGGGACTACAGAGGATTCCTTCTGTTCATCCTCTTGGGGACCTGCTGGGAAACCTGGGCCGGACAAATTCGCTATTCTGTGCCGGAGGAGACAAACAAAGGGTCTTTTGTGGGCAACATCTCCAAGGACCTGGGGCTGGAGCCCCGGGAGCTGGCGGAGCGCGGAGTCCGCATCGTCTCCAAAGGTAGGACGCAGCTTTTCTCTCTGAATCCGAGAAGCGGCAGCTTGGTCACCGCGGGCCGGATAGACCGGGAGGAGCTGTGCGCCCAGAGCGCGCGGTGTCTGGTGAGTTTTAACATCTTGATGGAAGATAAAATGAATCTTTTCCCTGTTGAAGTGGAAATAATGGATGTTAATGACAATGCACCTAGATTCTTGACGGAAGAAATAACCGTAAAAATAATGGAGAATACAGCTCTTGGAATGCGGTTTCCACTAAATCAGGCTGGAGATCCAGATGTGGGCACAAACTCCCTCCAGGGATACCAGCTCAGCCCCAATGGCCACTTCTCCTTGGTTGTGCAAAGTGGAAATGATAGAAAAAAGTACCCGGAACTAGTGCTGGAGCAGGTGCTGGACCGGGAAGAAGAGAGGGTTCACCATCTGGTCCTCACGGCCTATGATGGTGGGGATCCACCTTTATCTGGCACCGCCCGAATCCAAGTGACAGTGGTGGATGTGAATGATCACACACCAGTCTTTTCTCTGCCCCAGTACCAAGTGACTGTGCCTGAGAGCGTACCAATAGGCACAAGACTTCTGGCAGTAAACGCTGTCGACCTGGATGAGGGAGTCAACGGAGAAGTGACATATTCTTTTCGGCAAGTAACTCCAAAACTTCTACAAATATTCCATCTCAATTCCCTAACAGGAGAAGTATCCACACTAGAAAGTCTTGATTATGAAGAATCCAACTTCTATGAAATGGAGGTTCAGGCTCAGGATGGTCCTGGTAGTCTGGCAAAAGCGAAAGTATTAATCATAATTTTAGATGTGAATGATAACGCTCCAGAAGTGACTGTGACCTCTGTAACCAATTCAATTCCAGAAGACACACCTCCTGGGACAGTAATTGCTCTTTTCTACCTCCAAGACAAAGATTCTGGAAAGAATGGTGAGGTGACCTGCACTCTTCCAGAAAACCTTCCTTTTAAATTAGAAAGATCGATAGATAATTATTATAGATTGATCACAGCAAAACACTTGGACCGGGAAAAATGCTCTGTGTACAATATCACACTTAAAGCCACAGATGGGGGAGCTCCTCCCCTGTCCACAGAAACATACATCTCCATGTATGTGTTGGACACCAACGACAACCCACCCGTCTTCCCCCAATCCTCCTACTCTGTCTACATCCCTGAGAACAACCCTAGAGGTGCTTCCATTTTCTCAGTAACTGCACATGACCCTGACAGTGAAAAGAATGCCCAGGTCACTTATTCCTTGGGCAACGACACCATCCAAGAGGCACCAGTGTCCTCTTATGTCTCCATCAACTCTGACAGTGGTGTCCTGTATGCACTCCAGTCCTTTGATTATGAACAGTTTCAAAACCTACAACTGAAAGTGATTGCACGTGACAGTGGAGACCCACCTCTCAGTAGCAACATGTCACTGAACCTGTTGGTGCTGGACCAGAACGATAATGCACCTGAGATCCTCTACCCCACTCTCCCCACTGATGGCTCTACTGGGGTGGAGCTTGCTCCTCGATCTGCAGAGCCTGGATACTTGGTGACCAAGGTGGTTGCAGTGGACAGAGACTCAGGCCAGAATGCCTGGCTCTCCTATCGCCTCCTCAAAGCCAGTGAACCAGGGCTCTTCTCTGTGGGGCTGCACACAGGTGAGGTTCGTACAGCAAGAGCCCTATTGGACAGAGACACAGTGAAGCAGAGTCTTGTGGTGGCTGTCCAGGACCATGGCCAACCTCCTCTCTCTGCCACTGTCACGCTTACTGTAGCAGTGGCTGACAGCATCCCAGATGTCTTGGCTGACCTGAGCAGCATCAGGATTCCCACTGATCCTGAAGATTCAGACCTCACACTCTACCTGGTGGTAGCAGTAGCCAGTGTCTCCTGTGTCTTCCTTGTCTTTGTCATTGTGTTGCTAGCACTTAGACTGAGGCGCTGGTATGAGTCGCGCTTGCTGCAAGCTACAGGTACTGGGTTGGAAGATGTGCCTGCCTCACACTTTGTGGGTATGGATGGAGTGCAGGCTTTTCTACAGACCTATTCTCATGAGATCTCCCTTACTGCCGACTCTGGAAAGAGCCACATCATCTTTCCCCAGCCCAACTACGTGGATACGCTCATCAGCCAAGATAGCTGTGAGAAAAATGATTCTCTGTTAGCCTCTATAGATTTCCATGAATGTAAGGCGCAAGGCCCAAGTATTCAGGTGAGTTAAATTCTTCCTTTATCTTTATTTCCACAGAAATTAAGTTATGCATAGTATATCTCTTATTTTGTGAAATGAGTATTTTAAAGATAGAGGTTAACAAAACAAAGATATAAAGGCAAGTTTACTGGTTAATTTTGGTGGTGATACTTTTGCATTGGACACATAAAAGTCTATGGATATGATTGTGAATAAGTAGGCCATCACATTTTTGTACCATCAATCGGTATTTTTCACTTGGTTTCTAGTATATTTTATAAGTGAGAATGGATTGTTGAATCTTTCTTCATACAAGAGTAAAACACAACTCTTGTGCTTTCTTGGGATTTTCCTTAGGAGTCAGATCTTTAAGTGTTTCTTAAAGTGGTTTCAGTGAAGCTCTTTTCTTTGTTCTGCCTCTGCCTGCATGTACCTCAACTTGGTGGCCCTGTACATTATGGTTGCTTCATTAATTATTTAAAAACTAGCCATCCATTAAAAAAGCATAGTACTAGAAAGTTAAATTGATGTCTCAAGAATGAAACATGCCAAGCTTCACCAAGAACTATATCAAAGACAGGCACAGTGTCTAATGCCACCTAAGGTCATTAGCCAGAATAGCTAAAATGTGTCAAATAAAATGTCACTTCAGGGGTGTAAACCCTTGTGAAATAGGCTTGTGCGCTTTAACACAATTCCAATGTACTTAGTGGTACATCCATGTGAACAATGTCTGTGGGCTCTCCAGGTGGGAGAATTAAAAGGATGGCTCTGTGAAGCAACCATTTCACACACTTAAACCCTCGACCTGTAGTCATTTTATTTACTGGGTCTGATAAAATTTTTGGTTGGAAATAACCCAATTTGGGATTGAATACAACCATATTTATTTGTAAGGTAACTTGGTAAGTTCAATACTTCAAATGATTATCATATGTAACAGGTAGGTGCCAAGGTATTCTTGACTCCTTTGATCTTTTCAGCATGAATTTAAAGGACTTATTTTATTTCATTTTAATGGTACTGGGGATCAAACTAGGGTCCTTGCACTTGCAAGGCAGGCGGCGGAACCACTGAGCTAAATCCCCAGCCTCAGGATTTATTTTAAAATGTAGTCATATTGAGTTTGATCCTGGTACCCCCCCAAAAAAAATGTAGTTGTATTTGGTGCTATTTGCACAAAAATGACTGGGCAACAAAAGAGCAGAATATCTTGCTCATTCTGTGATGTGCACATGCGTAATCACTTAGAAAGAAGACAATTTCACTGACATGTTGTGAGAAGAGTCCAAAACTAGAAATACGGTCATCAGGTATTTTGAAAATAAAATGCCCCCAATCCAAGTTTGTTAGTGGCTTTAGAATGTTTTTAAACAAAGGGGAGAAATCATCACTAAACTCAGGAAACTGTTACTAGAATACTTTCAAAAGACAATTTTCTTTGAATTCTGAGGCCATAATGTAATGTAAAATGGCAGATAGTCACCAGTACGACAGAAAAAATATATTATTCCCCAGGTAACTTTGGAGACCGATGTTATATGCTGTTACTATGTTGCCACTAGGAAAACCTATCATCCTGGAAAGTGGGGTAAAAACTTTTTTTCTAAGAGTCCGACTTCAAACGCTATTAAATTTATACCTACGGAGCGAGGTTGTTTCCAGTAGACAAAACTATACTACTGATTAAGCTGAAAGAGCAGAGGCTGCAGTTCCCCAGTGTGCACTCTGGGCGCCGCTGTTGGCCAAAGACCAGAGCTCGGCGCTCGCCTTCTCCTCGCGCAGCCGCACCGCGCTTACCAGGGCCGCCCTCTCACCCTCGCCAGGGCGAGCCCTTAGACCGCTTCCTACTGGAAAAGAGAAGAAACTTTCCCTGGACTGGGACTGAGAACTAAAGCCCATCCGGAACCCCGCGTGTCTGCGATACAGTGCTTATTCGTGAGCCCGCGTCTCCAGGCCGGTGAGCAAGCTGAGGGAGCAGGAGGGATGGGGAGCGGCGCTGTGCAGAGGGGCAGGGCTGAGAGGCGGCCAGTGTTCTTTCCCTTGCTGCTGTCTTTGTTCAGCCCGGCGCTCTCGGAGCAGATCCGCTACAGGATCCCTGAGGAAATGGCCAAGGGCTCGGTGGTGGGGAACCTGGCCAAGGACCTGGGCTTCAGCGTCCAGGAGTTACCGACTCGGAAGCTGCGCGTCAGTTCGGAGAAACCTTACTTCTCAGTGAGCGCAGAGAGCGGGGAGCTGCTTGTGAGCAGTAGGCTAGACAGGGAGCAGATATGTGGGAAGAGGCCTGCGTGTGTCCTGGAATTTGAGGCTGTTGCTGAAGACCCGTTGAACTTTTATCATGTGAGTGTGGAGATCGAGGACGTTAATGACCACTCCCCAAAATTCACGCAAACTTCCTTTGAGCTGCAAATAAGCGAGTCCACCAAGCCCGGTGCACGATTTATCCTAGGATCTGCCCATGATGCAGATATTGGTACCAACGCCCTACAAAATTACGAACTCAGTCCCAATGATCATTTCTCACTCACGAATAAAGAGAAAGCAGATGGTAGTAAATACCCCGAAATGATACTGAAGATTCCTTTAGACCGGGAAAAACAGAGCTTCTACCACTTGGCCTTGACTGCCTTTGACTTTGGGGATCCACCCCTCAGCAGCACTGCACAGATACAGGTCCTAGTGACAGATGCCAATGATAATTCTCCCGTATTCAGTCAAGACATATACAGAGTAAGCCTTCCGGAAAGCCTGTGCCCAGGAAGCACCGTGCTCCGAGTGACTGCCACCGACCAGGATGAGGGAGTCAATGCTGAGATTACATTCTCTTTCAGTGAAACGGGCCAGGTCAGCCCGTTTGACCTGAATTCTAACACTGGGGAAATTACTACTCTAAACACATTAGATTTTGAAGAATTAAAAGAATATTCCATTGTTTTGGAAGCAAGGGATGGTGGAGGAATGATTGCACAATGTACAGTGGAGATAGAAATCCTAGATGAAAATGACAACATCCCACAAGTGATAATCCAGTCTCTACCCGACCTAATTATGGAAGACACTGAGCTAGGAACACACATTGCTTTGCTTAAAATCCGTGACAAGGATTCTGGTCACAATGGAGAAGTTACCTGTAAATTAGAAGGTGAGGTTCCATTTAAAATACTCACTTCTTCAAGAAACACATATAAATTAGTGACTGATGGGGTTCTAGACCGGGAAGAGAACTCGGAGTACAACATCACCATAACAGCCACAGACAGAGGTAACCCACCTCTCTCCTCCAGCTCCAGTGTCACCCTGCACATTGGTGATGTCAACGACAATGCACCCGTTTTCCACCAGGCCTCCTACATGGTCCATGTGGCTGAGAACAACCCTCCTGGTGTCTCCATCGCGCAAGTCAGTGCCTGGGACCCTGACTCGGGACCCAACGGCCAGGTCTCCTACTCCATCGTGGCCAGCGACCTGGAGCCTAGAGCGCTGCTGTCCTACGTGTCCGTGAGCCCGCAGAGCGGGGTGGTGTTCGCGCAGCGCGCCTTCGACCACGAGCAGCTGCGCGCCTTCGAGCTGACGCTGCAGGCCCGCGACCAGGGCTCGCCCGCGCTCAGCGCCAACGTGATTCCCCATATATTATTTCTAGCTTTGTTTCCTCAAACTTCTACTAGTCTAAGGTCAGCAGAGCCCTCCTAAGAGTCAGACCCACATATATCTGTTACATATAAGATCTGCCATCAGATTCCAAAATCTGACACTTGTGACCCCTCCTCTT